TCACTGAAGCGGTGAATGAAGATGTGAAGGATGCCATGTCTAAGCAGCTAAGGTGCACCTCACACAGAACCACACGTGGCAGCCACCATATCTAAGCTGTAAGTCCTGCAGCAGATGCCTGAAACCACGGACAGAAACAAACCCCAGCCAGGGCCTTGCACAGCACAGCTGGCAATGGCAAAAGGCAAGTGGGGCCACCCCCAGCCCTCCCAGCCTCGCAGCAGAGCCCGGCCGGTTCCCACGGTTCAGCAGAGGGCAAGTGCATGGCTCTCAGCGAAAGGAAGCCCTCATTCCCCTAACTAACTAAGAGGGTGGCAGAAGGTCCTCAAACAACTCATCAAGAACTTGTTCCCTCAGCCTTTCTGAGGGTGGACTCGGGTCTGGTTCTGGTGGGTGAGACAGAAATGAAGGAAAACTGTGAACACTTTCCTTCCTGGAGATGGAACCATAGCGCTTCTTCGGGGCTGGTGCCCCATTTCCCTTCTTTCCTACCTAAAACAAAGATACGTTATCTTGAAATACAGCCACCATTTTGCAAATATAAGGCAAGGAACATGAGGATAAAACCCACAAGCTAAGGATGGTGCCGCAGGAGGATGGGAAGATACTGGGAGAAAACCACATCAGACAGCTGGATTTCTCGTTCAGTGAGATGAGCAAGTCCTGTTCACTCAAACCACAACAGCTGAGGATTTCACAGCACACACAGCCTCTCCTGGAACAGAGTCCCCAGGTTTTCACAGTGCCAGCACCCCCAGGCCATACACACTGACAAAGTGACACGCAGGCCCGGCTGACAAGTGAGTTTCTCCCCTGAGGAACATACGTGCAGAAACCTAAAACTTAGGTAAACATGTGCACATTAAAAGTCTATTGACCTGACAAAAGAAGTTCAACTATAAAAAGAAAGCTCGATACAAAGTGTTTATTTTTAAATTATCCTGAGAGAACTAATCAAATCTCCTGTCAGTAATCAAATAACCCAGGCATCAATAGCACAGAGACTGTCACTCAGCTGGCCTGAAAAGAGACTGCTTTTTCTTTTTCTGCTTTAATGATTTCACTATTACTGCACCAGGAAGTATCAAAATTACATTACTCAACCCTAGGCAACAACAACATAAAGCAATAACCTGAGGAATGTAGAAAAGTAAAGAATCAACGTAGAAACGCCGTAACCATGCTGCACTGCTCTTTACAAATGTTCCAAAGAGGGACAGCACCTATGAGGACCCAGGGATGGGTCTTGGGGTCACACCCCAGCTCAGTCATTTGCATGGGTGTCCCTGTGCATGCAATATCTTTAATGTGCCTTTGTCTCAGTGTCCTCATCTGTAAAATGGGAATGAAAATCGCAGCATCTCATAGTGTAGTTAAAGGTCATATCATGAATGCCTGAAACAAAGTATTAGCAAAAATGTGGCTGTATTTTTCTCCTTAGTCTTATCCGTAATGACACACCGTAACTTCTTTGTATCTTTGCTTATTGTTTATCTCCTCCCACTATAAGGTACATTCTCTGAAAGCAAGAAATCAGTCTTTTTTTCGCTTCTCTAGCACAGAGGACAGTGCTTAGCACGCAGGGGTCTGCAGCATGTTAACTGAATGACCAAATCTATGCCTGCACACCTACAATCACAGCACGTGCGGAGGTTTTGTCCAGAGTTTATGAAGCTTAAAATCATCAAATGGATCATTTGTAGAAATTTATAATCGTTACTTGAAAGGTTAATAAATTGAAGGAATTAAAATATGTGATATTTGATGCGCAAGAAAAATTACATTTCATTTTCAAATATAATATTAATAAATTTCTCATTAAACACAATAAAAATAATTATAGATCTCCCCCAAAATATACAATCTCACCAGGTATTAAATAACCTTAGACACATTGCTCAACCCTTAATCTGCACTGAGGAGATTCTCAGACCTAGCTAGACCTCTCGGCCTCTCCACACCCAAGACGTGGACCTGTGAAGACCGAGTCCCTGTGATGAGAGGTCTGAAGGTCTCCACGTTAGAGGGACTGGAGCATGGGGCTCCGGGGCGTGTAATCCTGCACACTGGGCTGCATCTGAACGGTGCCATCAGAACCTCTGACTCTGTCATGCTCCAGAAAGCTGCTGAGGCAATTCATCCTCTCAGGAGCCACTTCATGAAGAACTGAAGGGACAAGTGAGCCGAGCCAGCTGCCTGACTTCACTGTGACGTCCAGCCACTGTCCAGCCTCGGGCTGCGCACGCCTAACTCAGGCCTCAGGCGTCTTCTCCTCTCCGCCTACAGCAAGTCTCTGGAGAACCACCCCAGTGCCATTCATTTAATTTAAATGCCTCTCTAAACATTCTCTTACCCTGATAGGGTCCTCTGAGCTTCACCCAGGTCCGCTGGCCAGCCCTGAAATCCACCCTGAAATGCAGCAGGGATCCCGGCCCTCCAGAACATCTGCTTCTGATATTCACTTAACATCCCAGTACCTGTGTGGGCCACTTCGTTAAATGTACCATCAGCCCAGCTGGTGCTGAGGCTAAATGAGAGCCTGGACCTGGCACGAGCCCTCCTTCCTCTCAGGCACACAGCCCACCCTTCAGCAACATGGGACGTGGGACCCCCAGGGACATCCAGCCTCTGGCCACCTGTCTACAAATTCACCAAAATTCCAGAAGGGCAGAGCATGGCAGCCCCTCCCGCATATGGCACTGGCTCTCCGCCTTCCTCCCTGCTTCCTGGAACACAGTCTCTTAGAACAGCCAGGGTGAGTTTTCTTACACAGGAAGCTACCCCAATCACTCTAATTTTAGACAAACTTCAGCTGACTCCCTCTCGCTCACAGGATAAAATCATTAACCACGTTACAAAACACAGCACCCTGTACCCCATCTCCTCCCTGCCATGCTCTTGCTCACTTCACAGGAGCGTGATTACCTGCAAACACATCGTGCACATGTTCACGGCCCACCCAGTTGTCTACAAGCTCTGCAATGGCAGAGTCGTGCCGTGGTCTCTGCTGACGGCCCCAGAGGGGTCTTATCCATAGAAGTTGTTGTTAAATATGATAGAAACTCACAGATAAATAAGCAGATTAATAATTTTACATTTTGCTTTAATCTAACATCTTACAACTGCCTCATTCTTAAAATACAGCGAGATGAAACCTCGGCCTACCTGGCTGCTCTAGCATCCCTGGAGAAAGAGAGCTGGGGAGCTGATCCCACCTGTCTGGCCTTTAATCACCTTGGGATGACTGCGTACCTGCTCACGCAGAAGAGGTTCTAAAATGTGGGGGAATGCGACAGCTTCTCTCAGCGTCCGCAGGTGTTGCTGGCTCTAGTTCATCCCCCGGGTTGGCTCTGTCTGCCTCCTGACTCAGCTGGTGACTCCGTGTGCTGTGGGGAGAGGGATGCTCTCCAGGGCTCTGGCACCCCCCACAGTACCTCCTGCACTCCCCTCATCCTGAGGCCAGAATCCCGTGTCAGTTTAACACAGACACTCAGGACAACACAGAGGATCTGCTTGCCTGTAAAATACTCGTTCTGTGTTTTATATGGAAGAGATAAAATAAATGACACCAAGCTCCGGATGCCTAAAAACTCACAATTCATTGCCAGGACTTTGTTACTGAATGTGCACACAATGAGGATATAAATGTGTCTAGAAAACACTAACTCTGGCACAGCCGATGAAATGGATCCCCGTGGGGAGAGGCAGGTGCAGGGAGCAGCCAGATGAGTTCATCCCCAACTGTGTGCTGAGGTCGTGGGCCTGGGTCACTGAGGATGGAGACAGGCGAGCTGGCAGGACCAGGGGGCAGCAGGGACGGGCAGTCCAGGCTCCAGGTAGGAAATCCGCAAAGGGTCTGGACTGCAAGCCTGAGGGCAGGCCCGGGAGGAGCGTGGGGACCTCCCACTGGGGCTCCCACGCTGGAGTTACTTGTGAAGCTTGCAGTGTCTGAAGAGAACTGCATCAGCATGGTCTACAGGCTGTTGGGTATCTCCTGGGTCCCAGTTTCTCCTGACCACATCCACCAGGCCTTGGCTGCTCGAGGCAGGGGTGCTGGCTGAAGAGGGTGCATGGGCTACAGCCAAGGTTCATACTCACACTCTAGGGAGGGTGGCCTTTTTGACCTGTTTCTCCTCCTCCAGGTAAAATAGATTTTCTTTCTGAATTGACCATAAAAATCGTTTACTGAAAATTACCTGTTGGCTAACCTTACTCTCTATTCTCTTTTCTGAGACTTTTCATCATATCCACCAATTAACAACAACAACAACAAAACCCACTAATGAAAATAACTGAAAATGTTTGCAAAGATGAGAGGAACAGAGCTGCGTTGGGCCATGCCTTCTTCCCAATGACCATCAGCCGGCCACATGGCTTTGGGGTGCAGCAGGAACTGGCCGTGCCCGACACAGCAGCAGTGGACCCACGGCTCCTTGTGGAATCTGCTTTATATGTGCCAAAGCACTGGGCTCTGTGAAGCTGGTCAATACCACAACTGCAACACTTGATATAACATATACAACAAAATATTGTAGTCCAATTGAATCATAATGTTCCTAAAGCTCCAAAAACCTTCAAAAAGAGGCCAGGCATGGTGGCTCATGCCTGTAATCCCAGCACTTCGGGAGGCTGAGGCAGGCAGATCACCTAAGGTCAGGAGTTTGAGACCAGCCCGGCCAACATGGTGAGTCTCTACTCATAACACAAAAATTAGCTGGGGGTGGTGGCAGGCAGCTATGACCCCAGATACTGAGGCAGGAGAATCACTTGAACCTGGGAGGCGGAGGCTGCAGAGAGCCGAGATCTTGCCACTGCACTCCTGCCTGGGCATCACAGCAAGACTCCATCGTGGGGGGTCGGGGGAGGGAGCAAGAAACAAAACAAAACAAAAAACCCAAAAAGAATTATCTTTTCATTCAGAGACCTGTAGAGCTCTCTCTCTTTTCCTGTTATCTTCATTATAATGAACACAGTATTTCTTATAAAACTGAAAGTCTGGTGAAGGACCGTGGCAGGTGTTGACGTGATGTGATTTCTGCCCAGTGCTCTGAATGTCAAAGTGAAGAAATTCAATGAAGTATGGGTAAACGGCGGGAGTAACTATGACTCTCTTAAGGTAGCCAAATGCCTCGTCATCTGATTAGTGACGCGCATGAATAGAAGAATGAGATTCCCACTGTCCCTACCTACTGTCCAGGGAAACCACTGCGAAGGGAATGGGCTTGGCAGAATCTGCGGGAAAGAAGACCCTGTTGAGCTTGACTCTAGTCGGGCATGGTGAAGAGACTTGGGAGGTGTAGAATAAGTAGGAGACCCTTGCACCCCTCCCCACACCCGCAGCATCCTGCAAGGGGGCGGGGTGGGGTCTGTGGGCTTGCATTTAAAGCAGTGTCTAGAGGAAAATTTATAGCAATAAATGCCCACACGAGAAGCAAGGAAAGATCTAAAATCAACACCCTATCATAAAAATTGAAAGAGCTCGAGGAGCAAAATAAAAAAAAACTCAAAAGCTAGCAGAAGACAAGAAATAACTAAGATTAGAGAGAACTGAAGGAGATAGAGACACAAAAATCCCTTCACAAAAATCAATAAATCTAGGAGCTGGTTTTTTGAAAAGATCAACAAAATTGACTACTAACCTGACTAATAAAAAAGAAAGGAGAGAAGAATCAAATAGATGCAATTAAAAGCAATAAGGGGATATCACCACCAATTCCACAGAAATACAAACTACCATCAGAGATTACTACAAACAACTCTATGCACACAAACCAGTAAACCTGGAAGAAATGGATAAATTCCTGGATACTTGCACCCTCCCAAGACTAAACCAGGAAGAAGTTGAATCCCTGAATAGACTAATAACAAGGGCTGAAGCTGAGGCAGCAATTAATAGCCTACCAATCAAAAAAAGCCAGGTCCAGATGTGTTCACAGCCGAATTCTACCAGACATACAAAGAGGAGCTGGTACCAACCTTTCTGAAATTATTCCAAACAATCCAAAAAGGGGGAATCCTCCCTAACTCATTTTATGAGACCAGCATTATCTTGATACCAAAACCCGGCAGAGACTCAACAAGAAAAGAAAACTTCAGGCCAATATCCATGATGAACATTGATGCAAAAATCTTCAATAAAATACTAGCAAACTGATTGCAAGAGCATATCAAAAAGCGTATCCATCACAATCAAGTAGGCTTCATCCCAGGGATGCAAGGCTATTTATGTATGTTCAACATACATAAATCTATAAACATAATCCATCACATAAACAGAACCAAAGACAAAAAAACATGATTATCTCAATAGATGCAGTGAAGGCCTTCGATAAAATTCAACAGCCCTTTATGCTAAAAACCCTCAATAAGCTAGGAATCGATGGAACGTATCACAAAATAATAAAAGCAATTTCTGACAAACCCACAGCCAATATCATACTGAATGGGCAAAAACTGGAAGCATTCCCTTTGAAATCTGGCAGCAGACAAGGATGCCTTCTCTCACCACTGCTATTCAATATAGTATTGGAAGTTCTGGTCAAAGCAATCAGGCAAGAAAAAGAAATAAAGGATATTCAAATAGGAAAGGAGGAAGTCTATTTGTCTCTATTTGCAGACAACATGATTGAATATTTAGAAGACCCCATCGACTCAGCCCAAAATCTCCTGAAACTGATAAGCAACTTCAGCAAAGTCTCAGGATACAAAACCAATGTGCAAAAATCACAAGCATTCCTATACACCAACAACAGACTAAAAGAGAGCCAAATCAAGAGCGAACTGCCATTCACAATTGCTACCAAGAGAATAAAATACCTAGGAATACAACTAACAAAGGATGTAAAGGACCTCTTCAAGGAGAACTACAAACCACTGCTCAAGGAAATAGGACACAAACAGATGGAAAAACATTCCATGCTCATGGATAGGAAGAATCAATATTGTGAAAATGTCCATACTGCCCAAAGTAATCTATAGATTCAATGCTATCTCCATCAAGCTACCAATGACCTTCTTCACAGAACTGGAAAAAAACACTTTAAACTTCATATGTAACCAAAAAAAGAGCTCACATAGCCAAGACAATCCTAAGCAAAAAGAACAAAGCTAGAAGCATCATGCTACCTGACTTCAAACTATACTACAAGGCTACAGTAATCAAAACAGCATGGTACTGGTACCAAAACAGAGATATAGACCAATGGATCAGAACAGAGGCCTCAGAAGCAACACCACACATCTACAACCAGTCTGATCTTTGACAAACCTGACAAAAACAAGCAATGGGGAAAGGATTCCCTGTTTAATAAATGGTGTTTGGAAAACTGGCTAGCCATGTACAGAAAGCGGAAACTAGATCCGTTCCTGACACCTTACACTAAAATTAACTCCAGATGGATTAAGGATTTAAACATAAGACCTAACACCATAAAAACCCTAGAAGAAAACCTAGGCAAAACCGTTCAGGACATAGGCATAGGCAAGGACTTCATGACTAAAACACCAAAAGCACTGGCAACAAAAGCCAAAATAGACAAATGAGATCTAATTAAACCTAAAGGCTTCTGCAAAGCAAACGAAACAATCATTAGAGTGAACTGGCAAATAATGGAATGGAAAAAATTTTTGCCATCTACCCATCTGAAAAAGGGCTAATATACAGAATCTACAAAGAGCTAAAATAAATTTAAAAGAAAAAAACAAACAAACCCATTCAAAAGTGGGAGAAGGATATGAACGGACACTTTTCAAAAGAAGACATGTATGAGGCTAACAAACACATGAAAAAATGCTCATCATCACTGGTCATTAGAGAAATGCAAATCAAAACCACATTGAGATACCATCTCACACCAGTTAGAATGGCGATCGTTAAAAAATCTGGAGACAACAGATGCTGGAGAGGATGTGGAGAAATAGGAACACTTTTACACTGTTGGTGGGAGTGTAAATTAGTTCAACCATTGTGGAAGACAGTGTGGCAACTTCTGAAGGATCTAGAAATGAAATTCCATTTGACCCAGCAATCCCATTACTGGGTATATATCCAAAGGATTATAAATCATTCTATTATAAAGACATGCACACATATGTTCATTGTGGCACTGTTTACAATAACAAAGACCTGGAACTAACCCAAATGTCCATCGATGATAGACTAGACAAGAAAAATGTGGTACATATACACCATGGTATACTATGCAGCCATAAAAAACAAAGAGTTTCTGTCCTTTGTAGAAACATGGATGAATCTGGAAACCATCATTCTCAGCAAAGCGACACAGGAACAGAAAATCAAACACTGCATATTCTCACTCATAGGCGGGTGTCGAACAATGAGAACACATGGACACAAGTAGGAGAGTATCATACACTGTTTGGGGGGTCTAGGGGAGGCACAACGCCGGGTGGGGAGGATAGGGAGGGATAGCATGGGGAGAAATGCCAGATATAGGTGACGGGAGGAAGGAGGCAGCAATCCACCTTGCCATGTATGTACCTATGCAACAATCCTGCATGATCTGCACATGCACACCAGAGCCTAAAGTAAGATAAAAAATAAAAAACTGAAACTCCTAGGTGTTCCCAGGAAAACGCTGCTGGGAGTGCCCTGTACCCTGGAGTTCTCTCTTAGCCTACAGACAACGAAGGTTTCCTTCCAGACGGTGCCTGCTGCCTCTGAGGCTGAGGCTGCAGCCGGGTTTAGGGGCTCACTGGTCCCTAATTCCTGATTAAATGGAATCCCATATGCTGCATGTTTAAAGGCAAGTTTGTAAGCTTGCTCAAAAAGGAGAAAAATGTGTTGATCTGACTCCTGAATGTCCTTTTGGTGAAAAAGAATCTTCACCCGGATGCAAATTTCATGGCAAATGAATCTATGGAAACCTCTCTTCCCTGAGAACACATGCAGAGGTGCTGTGGGGAGTTCACATCCCGCTGAGACAATCTCTGCAGCAGAACGTGATCTCCTACACCGCGCACTGCTGACCTGACCTTCCACTGCCCTCACTGCACCCACCTTCAGAGGGCTCGTGGTCAAGGCATCCCCAGTCTGGGACCTCCGGCCTCTTCAGGGCACTCTGCCTGCATCCCGGGCTTACGGTTTGGGTAAAATTGGGTGAAATGAGTAAGAACTTTTGAGAAAAAGTATGAGCCTATCCTGCACTCTTTACCTGAAACCTCCACATTTCTGGCAGTGTGTGGAGAGAAGCATGTTACCTCCAGGCACACAGCTGTGGTCCCCTGCAGTGGCTGCACTTTCGATGTGAGGTGCATGAGGTCACCAGGCCACTGGGCCTTGCTTGCTCCCTGTGGTACTTCCTGTTCCCCTGCAGGCTCCAAGGACATGATGTAATCACCCCCACACGGACCATATGTCTGGCTGTCCCTTGCTCTAGAGAACGGGGAGAAGTGGCCTGAATCTGCACACCCAGGAGCTGCGGGACCAGCTGGGAGGAAGCTGGCCACAGGGACTCAGAATCCTCCTGACAAGCAGATGGATGCGTGCAGTTTAATGCGGGGCTTATGTTCAAAATCTAATTTTACGAGAAACAATCTGCCCAATAGTGAGATGTGTGGCCACAAGTCCGACCCTCACTTTTGGATTCTACACATGGTACCCTTTCCCTGTAAATGTCAGTTCTTCTTGTGATTCTTCGCAAAGCCAACATTTCGTTTCATGGATTGAAGTGGCAGTCACTGCAGTACCAGCAGCTGCCAGGTGCAGAAAGGACATGGTTCCAGCCCTGCCTGAGGGTCCGCTGCTCCTGCAACAGGTGCCTTATCTTCTCATGCCCAGAGGCTTGTGTGTCAGATGCTTCGCGAATGCCATGGACTTCTCCGTCTACACTTAATTATCCTCAATTTTTAACATACCTTAAAGTCAGTGTTCAAACCCCTGAATCATCAATATCTTTAGAGGATAACCTGATATATCAAACAGAGAATTATTGTCTCTCTTAAGGGCTGGAAGGATCAGCAGAGGTTAAAAAGGGCAGCCTCGGCTCAGGGCATGAGAAGCACCCTTTGAACCGAGATACAGCTACAAAATAAAATGGGAGTTTGGGTAATTCAGCAAAACAAATGTCTGCTCAATTAATTATCATTTTCAGTACTTCGTTATCTGACAAATGGCTGCAATGCATACACAGGTCATTTTGTCTGTTTTTACCTGCTTGGCCTTTGATTATTTTTGATATGACGACGGGAACGTTGTGCTCAGCACCTCCCTGAAAGACAAAGCCAACAGAAGGAAACGTGGTTATCATGATCCAGACTCGGAAAGTTCTTCAAATGCAAAAAGCGGGAATGCAGAAAAACATTTCCATACCTTTATACTCAGGCCCAAGCCACCTGCTGGCCGCCTGCGAAGTGTAACAGTTCTGTGCTTTAAAAAATTTCAGAAAACAAACCAACTTTAGGTTAAAATGCTCGATCAGAAAACGAATTCAAAATAAATTCTTCACTTAAGCCCAAATACTTGTTAAATTATATTTCCAAAGCAATGTTGGCTAAATATGACAGTAATGACATTATTTTAAATCTTTAATCTGTGGTACTGCACATGTGAAAACAAAGTGAGTGATAAAGAGCAGGCCCTGTTCCATGCATTGTCTGCAATCCAGGGAGAGTCCCTGCACAGCTGTCACCTCATCTGTATTTTGTTTGTGAGGAATGGGGTTCCGAGAAGAAGCGAGGTTCCCACCTTCTCCAAGGCGGTGAAAGGAAGCAGAGAGGAACACTCAGTTCTGTTGGAAACCTGTCTCTTCCCGCCAGCCCCAGCACCGGCTCCCTCTTCACTGTGCCACTCTGCTAAAGTGAGTCATGTTGAGAACAATCTTTAACCAACAGTAACTCATGAATGAACAGTGTTTTCACATCCTCTGACCACAGGTGCCTGGGTTATTTAAAGGTAGGTTGTGATAAAAAGCTAAAAGCACAATAGGCCCCAACTGGATACTGAAATGGTAAAAATCTCCAAATCTCTTGGGCATTAAGCCACGCACAAATGTTTTGCTGTGGTCTAATCTGATGAATGCACCTGTTAGCGACTTCAGGTAGACACAGGTGACTAGCGCCCACTCTGAGGGGGCACACAGAGGCGGCCTGGGGTAGATGGGCAGTGGCCAAAGCGTGCTTTTACCTCCAAAAGACACTACAGGAAAAAAGGAAATGGCATTCTTTGAGTTCTAAGGGAAAACATAAGCATGTTCAGACTGAATGGCTCTGAAAGGAGACTTTTGTGCAAAGCAAGGACACTGAAGATGGTGGCAGAGCCCACACAGAAGGGGGGACCCAGGAGCCCCCGCCAGCCAGCACTGCAGGTGCAGGAAGGCCGCTGTGAGCGCTTCCGCAGCCTGGGGCACCACGGGTATCCTTCTTAGGGGTGAACACTTTATAAACCTAAAGGAAAGAAACTAAGAATTGGAGCAAATATACCTCCACTGAAGTGTGTCTATGGGGACACAGAAAACAATACCTTAATTGGAAATTTTACTATTTTGATCTCTTTTGCGCATGTAATATTTTTAACTGACAAAAATAATTATACACAGAAAAAGAGCTGTATTTCAGGGTATTTGCTAGAGAGTGATCATTTTGGCTTTTTCTTGGTCAGGCTGGATTCCATATGCTATGAGCAGCAAAGTCAGAGCCATTCCTGGGAAGTCCATACCGTGGGTTCTTACAGCATCCACATTCTCAGTATTTACCAGCAATGCCACGAATGCTTCCCAGACACACTGCGCCAATGGACAGGCTCTTCAACCTCTCATCAAAGCATTACTGACAACAGCCAAGATATGGATAGGTGAGAAAAGACAGCAGATGCGGTAGACACACCAAACGGGACATCATTCAGCCGTAGGGAAGGAAATCCTGACATCTGTGACAACATGAGAACCTGGAGGACATTGTGCTGAGCAGAATAAGCCAGGTACAGACAGACAAATCCAAAGGTCTCTCCTGCATGTGGGATCTAAGAATATCGACCTCAAAGCAGAGAGTAGAGCCGTGGCTACTAGGTTTTGGGGTGGTGGGGCGGAGATGCAGGCCAAAGGGAGCCACATTTCAGCTGTAAGGTGACAAGTTCTGGGCTCTAGTGGAAAGCAGGGTGACTATGGTTAATAACGCCATGTTTCCTTGAAGTCTGCTAAGAGAATAAACCTTATGTGTCCTCACCACAAAAAACAAAGGTCGCTGTCAGAGGTGATGTACGTGTGATTTCACAATGTATATGCATATGAGAGCATACCCTGTATGTATAATTTCTATTAGTTACAGTTCAGGAAAGATGAATGAATAAATTCCACTGTGCAGCTAGAGGGTTTCCAAGGATATCCTCTATTAAGGAGGGAGAGGGAGTTACTCCCGCATGTGGGAAGCATATCATTTTCCTCCTCAACGTGTGGACGGGTGACTTTGCCAGAATGTGTCTCACAGTGAGTGCGAACTGCAGAAAAGAGGGGGGACTCACTCACTCCCTCAGTAGATGCTGAACTCTGCAGGGTTCATGGCCAAGAAAGGGAGTGGGGAGAAAGGCACCCACCTACTAGCTGCTCCTCTGTGTGACAGTGAACGGCCTCACATTTCTAAGAACTTTTCTGTGCAACAGAGATTGAAAACTGAATTATCTACATCATAGTAACTAGAGGCCTCTCTGTATAGAATTTCTGAAAATGCTCAATAACATTTTAAAATTTTACCCATTAATGTAAGCATTTGAAACTCAGGCAAGTAAGCAAGTATAAGATGAGGGAAAATTCATTTTGAGACGAAACAAGTTAGCTTCTGCCTCGACAGACTGCCAAATAATGACATTTCGAAGTTGTCATTTGACTCACTTATAGATGTCAGGAAGATATCCCAAAATATCCTAAAATATCCTTGATATTACAAAGAAAATATCAAGTAACTGATCACCTGTGGTAAAATCTGGACTAATGTTCTTAAGATAGGTAAGAAAAAATTGGAACATAAACAACCAACATAAGTATTTGTTTATCAGAACTTGAAGAGCTTATTCTCTATGACTGGGGCTAGGCCAGAACAATGTTTATTTAATTTCTGCTTTGTGCACTCTCCTAAAATGTCCCTTTCTGTGTAAGTTCGAACTAGCCATTTAGGTCTCTAAATCTCTCTACAATTGAGTTTCTGCATCTGGAAAGTCAGGACTGTACCAGGAGCCGTAATGGGAAGTGCTGTGAATGGGACAGTGACCCCTCAATTCCATGTTGAAGTCCTCACCCCCAGTGTGACTGCATGCGAGGCAGGGCCTTTAGGAGGTAACTAAGGTCGGATGAGGTGATTCTGGTGGGTCCTGTCTGACAGGGTTGGCGTCCTTAAAGGAACAGGAAAAGACGACAGGGATGGCGCTCTCTCTGTCTGTTTCTTGCTGTTTCTCTCCCCACCCCCGCCTTGCTCTCTCTACCTCATGAGGACACACCAGGAAGCCTGCCCTTGCCCGGGCCAAATGCAATGCACCTGGAAGAGGGACTGCCCCCTCCCGGAACTGTGCGGCTGGAGTCCCTGCTGTCCAAGCCAGCCCACCTTCCGTTCTTTGTCAACGTGGAGCCCAAGCTGCCTCGGCAGGAGTCAAGGAAGATCACTGTGGAAAGCACGTTATAAATCATCAGGTTTAACAAAACACCGAGATGGTTAGATTTATCCATGAAAAGTTGATACTTTAACCACCTCATTCAACACCAAGGACCCTAGTGCGTCAAAGTTGAGAGAAAAGGCTCAGGCAATTTGCACTTCCACGCTCCTATAAATGGACATTATACAGTTATCACGGCTCTACAGTGTTAACAATTTTCAAAACGAGATTTATAAAACTTACTGGATTATAAAAAGTAAATGGGAAAACTTCTGCGGCTTTTAACTGGAACTTTCCACACGGCAGTCCGGCTGATGCCATCCTGCCTCCTGTATCCTAATTATTTTATGACCCCATAGTTAATCCAATCATTTTAATTTAAGCATTTCTATAGCGCTCTGTTTAGACAAACAAGTGTCATCAAAAGGCATTTCTAACACAGCCAAAACAGTGCACTGTTTCATTCATCTCCCAGCACATAACCCTTAAAGTCAAGGACACACACGCAGGTGTGGGTAGTGAGGTGCCCGGAGGCTCATTATACATCTAATTATAAATCTAATTTATAGCCTGACTCCCCTATTCAATGCACTCCCCCATAATCTCGGCCTTTTCACTTTCCATGTTCAGGGGCTCCGGGAACTCACCAAACAAACAAATTCACAATACAATCGAATGTATCATGAAACCTCTAGAGAACCGAGGTTGGAATCTAAGGTAATTGTTCAACAAGTTATTTTCAAATTCAACCCTGCTTTTGTTTTCACAAGCATATCAGATAAATTTTTTCAGAAAATAGTCTGCATTTTATAATTTAATCCCAAACTATGTTTTGACATTTAATTAATGTTCACATCTTGGTAGCAGTTATCATTATGTTAATAATAGGACACAGCTATCTCCACATTATCTTCTGACCACATATTTTAAGGAGTTTTTTTCTAGGACACAGATAACTCTTATCAATTACATACTTTTCATGAAACATAAAAAGTGGTTTTGGGGTACTTAAGATCAGATTTCTTACCCTGGTCTTCTAAAACATCGTTCTTCAATTTATTATTGAATTACATGTTTGAATGGGTCTCACCTTCTACTTCAGATATTCAAACTGTGGACTTAACAATGAATTTAAATTTGTTATTGCTGCAAGCTCATGTTCAGATTTGAATACTGCAATTTCCAGAAAGATTTCAATCAGTTCCGCAAGTGAAACGCTGCACGCCTGCCGTGGCCACCAGCCAGGGCCCTGCCCCCAGGTTTGTTCAGCTCAAAACCCTTCTTGTGGTGAGGACAGGACAGCGTGGAGTGCTAATTCCCCTGCTCTCTCCCTGGGTCCAAGTCCCTCCCCTGCCCTTCCCTGGGGGTCTTCCTCCTCACAGGGACCTGGGCCTCACTCTTGTAAGAAGAGAATGGAGATGCGGGAAAGGTCAGGGACATAGAAAATAAGGTGTTTTGTTTGTTGTTTTTTGTATAATTGAAAGATTTGAAAGTTAAATTTTAAAAATCAGAAGTTTATAGAAAAAAAAATTCTGAAGTTTCTACTTTGCACCCACACATGAAGATACTTTCAAACATACTTGTAGAATTTTATTTCAGGAACCAATGTGCTAACAGACTTCGCCCTGGGGCTCCGTGATGGGGGGTATCAAAGAACGAACCATTGTGTCTTCCACAGAGCTGGACATTCCCTTTGCTTTAGCAAACACTCTATAAGGTATCTTTCAGAATGGGCTACTTGAATCTCTCTCCACTTTTTAAAAATAATTCAAATAAAGTTTTCTAAATGGATGAGGGAACCTGCATTTGCTATCTGAAATAAGTAAACTATTTCTTGAAATGTCTGGATACAATGATTTCAAACTAAGAGTTATTTGAAAAGCCTTGTGCATATTTGCCTAATTTGGATGTTAAATCCCTAATAGAAGGATTTCAGTATAATGGGATTAGAGTTTTAAAAAGTATATAACTCCTAAATTTTAAAAATTAAATGATTCCGTAATATTCTACTTTCTTGAGTAGTTGGATCTGGCTTCTCACACTCAAAGCCCCAAGTATGAGTTTCTTCAGGTCTGAGCACAGCCCAGGAAATGGAACAGGCCATCCTTGGCCAGCGTTGTGGGGGAGCAGCCCCCCAGCCCCGACCTGATGCGGGGACAGTGCCCTGGGGTCTCTGTGGGAGCTGCAGTCAGGAACCAGGCCCCTGGCCACCATGACCTTACAATGTTTGCATCCTGGCCTCGGAGTCTCTGGTCCATCTGGATCCTCTGCCTAGATCCCTGATGGGTGCAGGAGGGGAACTTGAAGAAGCTCTTCCCCTCTGAATTAGCTTCCAGGGTGGCCTCGGAGTCTCTGGTCCATCTGGATCCTCTGCCTAAATCCCTGATGGGTATAGGAGGGGAACCTGAAGAAGCTCTCCTCCTCTGAATTCACTTCAAGGCCTTTTCTACCCTTAGCTCTCTTCCGCCGGCCCCTGTGCTGATGGGCCTGGCTTTCGAGGGGAGCTGTCCCAAATGGTCCAGGGAACTGAGGCTGGCAGCTTTCCTGATCAGCCTGGCCTGCACTATCTGGGCCAGTGATGAGGAGCAGGGGCATCTCTCCATGTCAGCTGCCTTTCCACACCTGGGCACCCACCGTGATTAGTCATGGGTGCTAAGGGGCCTGTCATTAGCCTTCCACTTTGCTCTTCACAACAGGCACAAACAGCAGACACCAGCAGGGCAGGCGACAGACCCCCAACCCCAGAATGTCAGGCGACCATCAGGTGATGGCTAAACTTTCTCTCTAAAATGATAATTGGGCACAGCCAGTACCAAGGAAAGGCCATCTCCCAGTAGATAGAAAACACCTAAAGCTGGTGATCAGCAGCTTCCAGATAAGATCTCAGGAGGTGGGCGAGGGGCCTCCAGCACACAAACTTCCAGACAGAAGGGCGGTGTTTAGCTGGTCCATGACTTTCCTCCGGGAACACTCAACTAGTAAGGGAAAACGACTCAAGTGAACCTGTGCACAACTCCAGTAAGCGCACTGTCCACACGGCCCCTCCCAGATGCTGGCAGGCCACTGCACATGCAGACAGCCTGCCCCAAAGGAAGGAGCGGGGAAGGACGGCTGCAACCCCGGAACCGTGCCAGGCAGCGGAGAAAAGCGCAAGCCCAGGGCTGGACGGGGCACTGCATCACTCACGTTACCCACCTGGCCCTCTTACAAGTCCCCTTTACTCCCTTTCGTTCCTGCTCTAAAACTTTAATAAGCTTTCACTCTTGCTCTAAAACTGGCCTCAGTCTCTCCCTCTGCCTTAAACCTCTTTCTGTCCTCAACCCAATTCCTTCCTCCTAGGAGGCAAGAATCGAGTTTGCTGCAGACCCTTGAGGATTCACAGTTGATAGCAAGAACACACCACACATGTGCGCAAAATTAATTTCTAGAGAATGTGTGCATCATGGCAAGTAAGGCTTATTAAAATAAATGTGTTGGCAATATTGAAAATATAAATTTTCCTTGGGGGGAGAATTAGAAGTTTATAGAAAATTGTAACTTTTTCTATAAACTTATAGAAAGTTTCTATAAGTTTATAGAAAGCGGGGACTTACATCCAACTAAGAATGTGCAGAAAACTTACCAACTTTGGACAGTTCCTGTAACAGCTTAGAGTCCTTAAAGGAATGGACTAAGTAGAATTTAAGTATGTGGAGCGGATTTTATCTCCATGCATCGTAGATCCATTTTGCATGTTTGCAAAATGAGCACCTAATTGCATCCCATTCACCTACAATTGAAAAACACATACACAAAGATGTTGTCTGTGGAAAAATGCATATGAAGGAAGAATGTAAAAACGTAAATGTATCAGTAGATAGGCCGGTGAGGAG